TGTGGGTCTGGTTTATTTCACTAATAAGTATATCTTCAAGGGGCATCCACTTAAATATGAAGGCTTCAAGTTTATCATTCTTTATAGCTGAGTAGTACTCCATCATATAAAAAGACCACATCTTTTTCAACCATTCCACATGTGACGGGGCATCAGTGGAGGTTTAACAAAGAAAATGAGGTTTGGTCATTCCATCATACTTACCTCGCCATAGAGAAGTGAGTCTCATGTTGGGCACCAAAGATGTAGCCAATTTTTTGTTTCTGGGCTTTTGTCCTGAGGATCATGAAGAATGAAGCCAATAGGACAGAAAGAGGAATGAATCAAGTATCGTTTATTTGAAGGAACAAAGAAAAGCTCTTGCTATCTGAGAGGGACCCCAAGGGAGGTCGCTAAAGAAGCATCCAAATTCAAGAGTATATTCAAGTGTACTTTTGTTGAGCTATTTTGATGGGTATGTGAAGATGAGACAATGAAGCAATGCGGCTTCATTGGTTTAAGCTTAGGTTTTTGAAATTAGGAAGAGTAGAATCTCCCTGCCCCTCCCCATTTCCCACTGTAGATTTCAGTTTACCCAGGCCCTTGCCCTTGTCTTTTGCAGTTGGGCCTCTGATATCAGTGAAGCACCCATCCCTTGGCTTCTCTGATTTCTAGCTTTCTGGTGCACATGGGGCTCTCTCCCTTTGTGGTCTAACTTATCCAGGTTTATTTTGGTTTACTCAGGCCCCAATTTTATCTATCTACTGTTTATCTAACTTATGGTCTCATTGTTGTCATTAATAGCATGCCAACAATTATAGAAAACAAAGATAACTATGAAAGGATATAATTTATATTCAAGAAACAAAATAATAATTGTTTTTGACTTTTCCCAGTTGTCTTAGTTACTTTTCTCATTGCCAAGACAAAATATCTAACACCCAAAAATTAAGAAAGGAAAGGTTTATTTAATCCACAGTTTGTAGAGGTTTCATTCCATAATTGGTTTGCACTAAGGCAGGGTAGTATGGTAAACAGGCATCACCATCACAGAGAAGAAATAGTCCATGGCAGGCAGAAATAGGAAAGCAAACAAGGGGTGACCACAGCTCTTTCTATCCCTTATATCTTATCTAGGCTACTTAGAGTGGGTAGCATTCACACCCTTAATTTTAGTGTCACTGATCCTAGCATTGCATCATGAATCAATTCTAGTGTCACATAATCTAGATTTAACCATTTTTGAAAACTCTCCATCTATGACTGCATGAGGCTTTGGTGGTGGTGGGGACATCTAAACACAAGCTGTAACACCAATAAAATCATACTCACCTTTTTTATTAGGTATGACCTTAACTTGTAAACTTTGAGAGCTTCCCAGATCAATGTATTTCACAGCATTCAGAGTTGGTGAATCATCAAGTTGTTGAAGCACATGAAGACATGGTTTTGAGTATATATTCCATGTCTGTCCATTCTTTTGTCCAAAGTTGTACAAGAACCATTGGCCGCTTGAAAAAGTTACTTTGTTAGGTGCTATTGCAGGCATGGTAGCAACAGCTAAAGCATTCTTATCATCTAGAACTTCTGTGATCAGGAAGCTGCTGTAACCAGGAATCACCACAGTTTTCTCTATATCTGTAGCTTGAAACAAGGCATTAACAGCTGGAGAGAAATTAGAAAAGATTTGTTGTAATAGATAACATTTACTAAGCATACAGGTAGATGTAACTAAGACATTTGAATTTTAAAAAAGATGATCTTAATTAGAGAATATATTTGCCAGATTTCATGTTATAACTCAAATGTACTTTCTAGAAAGTTTATCAGGAATATATCACATTTAAACCTATACTTTAATATTTGCTATGCAATTGATGTTTAAAAATTGGAGTAGGAAAAAACTCTAAGATAAATGAAGTTATTTCTCTCCCTCCCCTTCCTCTAGTACTACAGATTAAAAGCAAGACTTCATACTAATCTTGGCAATTTATCGTGCTAAATTGCCGAAGTTTGTTTTGAGCCTGATAATCATTGTCTCAGCTTCCCAAAATGCTGAGATTAGAGGAGTACATATACTACCATGCCCAACTAGGATTAGTATTCTTATGATGAGACAGGAATATCTGTGTCTGTCTGTCTATCTATCCATCTAACTATCTAACTATCTAACTACCTATTCCTTTAAGACAGCAGAAATGTCATTTAGTTGATTTCCATAATAATGAATCTTTTAGTAAGAAATGATTTTATATGGGTATTTCTAGGTTTTCCCATAAAATTTTGAACTAATCTATTAAGTCTAAGTAACAGTAAACAGAAGGGAATTATCCACTGTCACACATTCTCCACCCGTCAAAGAAGATAATTTGGTGAATCTTTGAACTTCACTTTTCTATCCACTACATTTTTGTGGAAATGTACTCATTTCCTGAAGGCATAATAGAATCAAGACACTGCCCCCAACATTCTTGAGTCTAAACCTTGGTATTATATTTGAAATCACCCAAAAGGTAAGAGTAGACTTCAGAAACTTACTACACATGCCCAAAGGAAGAAAGAAGGTAAATAAGAATTTTCAATAAGGAAAGTCAATTTCTTTATTATGGAAAAAGCATCATTGTTAAGAGCCTTATTTACTGTGATTCCACACCTGAAGTGTAATGTAGCCAGCGTGCCTCCAGTGCATATGTATGTGCCTATTACATATGTACAACAAATTCAATTTGTTGGTTGGAAGCATAATTCATTCTTCCCAGGAGAGCAGGAAGATTTAGGAGAGGCTTTAGGACAGGACCTGAGAGGACATCATCATCACGTAAGGAATGGGAATGGGAAAACAATCATGTCAAGGATACAAGGAAGGAACAATTAGAGAAAATTCATCAGGGAAGATATCAATAAAACTGACAAAAGGCTGTTTCAAGAAGAGAAGCATCAGCATTACATTATCATGTTTTCAATAGGTCATTAAACATGAGAACAAGACTTCTCAATCTGAAGAAAACCGGAAATAATCCAAAAAGAGCCTAATAATTCTCTTTATTGCACACAAATACTTTCTCCCATTTCAAATTAATCCCCAATTTTTCCCAACATTCCCTTAAAAGGATACATGGTTTTGCTCCTCTCCTTTAGATTCCTGAAAGTTACCTTTATTCACTGTCTTCATTTCTGCTTCTCTCATCAGTCTTTGAATCCATTCTAGTGAGGCTTGTCTATACTATCCCAGCCAATAACCTTTGTCAAATCACCAATGATTTTTGCAGGGGTTGAATATCCAGCTTACATTTGCTCTCACCTGATTTATCATTGGCTTGTAATACAGGTGCATTCCTTTCTTTTTTTGAGACAGGGTCTTATTATGTACTCAGGCTGGCCCGAAATTTGACATGATACTTCGGCTTCAGCTTCTCAAATGTTGGGATTATAGAAGTGCATTACCACACCTGGTAATCCTTTCTTTCTGAAACACCTCCCTCACTTGGCTTCTGAGATGCACTCTTGGGTTTTCTCTGTCCAGATCATCTAATTTCTTTTACCAACAATCCCTTCCCGTCCCTCATAGGCTCCTTGTCAGAAGGCCTATGGTTAAACCTCATGCCTCTTGCTTTCTGTATGTCCAATCAGTTTCCAGGTCTTCTCACTTAGTATCATAGCACAATCATATACAAATGGTTTTCCTGAGCTTCAGGCTTGTTTTTCTAACTGTTTATCTTACTTTTTTTTTTTTTTAAAATTTATTTGTGTGTGTGTGTGTGTGTGTGTGTGGCCAGCTCAGCCCACCAGGGGGCGGGGCTGGCTGGCATGTGGTGCTGGGGGATTGAACCGTGGTCCCTGTGCTTTGCCTAGCTTGTTCTAAGTAGGTGCTTTAGACCACTGAGCCATCTCACCAGCCCCTCTATCTTACTTTTCCACTTGAGTGAGTAACATGCATCTTAAATTTAATGTGATTTTTCACTGGATTGCTGAAATAGCCTCTGAGCTGATTGTTTTTTCCTCCCTGTCCTCTCTCTGTTTCTCAGTCTGTTCTTTTTGAGAAATGGTCTTGCTATGCATTTCAGGCTGGCCTTGAGTTCACTTTGTAGTACAGGCTGGGCTTGAACTTGCAGCGATCCTCTTGCCACAGCCTCCCAAGTGCTGGGATTACAGGTATGTGCCACCACACCCTGCTGCTCTGACTGTTCTTGACACAGCAGGTAATGCAATCTCATTGAAACAGAATGTGTCAACATTTATATAAACCTGTATAATGGGTTCCCAATTACTCAGAGTCAGGCCAAAATCCTTAAAGTATACTAATTTTTGTATTCTTTGATACATAGCTAAGTATTCTACCTATCCTTATGCAAAGATAACCTTTTGAAATAAAAATATGCCATAGAATAGTGATATAAAATTATTTTACTACATAGGGAAAAATCTGCATGAATTTCTTATTTTTTCATTTTTAATTGACATGGAGTATTTTGCCTCACTTTTTAAAAATGTTTATTCATTTTAATGAGTTGTCTCACTTTTGAGCACTGTTAAGACAAAATAACCTCATGAGAATAAATGAGAGGCACTACTATTGATGATATATTGATGAAGCTATAGGTAGGTTTTATTATATTAGGAATAAATAAATCATCAGGAATCTAAGCACACGTAAATTTTAGTAAGTTGCCAACTAGACTAAAATTTGAAACCTATTGCTCTAGACTGAGCAGAGACAGTCTTCTCAAAAGGTATTTTTTTCACTTATTGTAGTCATCAGAGATATGTTTTATTTATTTATTTTTGTATTTAGTACAGGGTCTAGCAGGGCTCACTACACAGATCAGACACAGAGTAATCCTCCTGATTTCAGCCTCCCAAGCACTGGGATTATAGGCGTGCACCACCATGCCCAGTATCAGTCTTTGTCTCAGTGTGCCACAGGGGCAGGGCTGGCACAGCACGCCGGGAGTCACTGTGTTCTGCATAGGCAGACACTTTAATCTGCTGAGTTAGCTGACCAGCCCAGAGATATGCTTTAATACTTACCTTGTAAGTCAAGGCTAAGTTTATAGGACGGCTGTACAGGTTCTTCAAGAATAGAAAGAGAACTAGATAAACAAGAGCTGTCCTTTACTTCTTCTATTCCAAAAGGTTGTATCATTTCTGCAATAACTGAGGATAAAAATTCTTTAGGAGTTTTATGTTCCAGTATCTTTCTTATGTATGCTGTTCCAGTTTTACTAAAAACAAATCAACAAACATTAAGCAGTTTGGATATTGTAGAGGCCTAAGTGAGCAAATTTATGAATATACAATTTACAAATAAAATATAATCCATTGGTAACAAATGAACATTTGGTTAACATTTTGTTTAAACTCATTGTTGTGTTTTTCTTTTTCCTTTTTAATTTAGTACAGGGTCTGTAGGGTCTACAGGGTCTCACTATGTAGATCAGACTTGTAGTGATCCACCTGTGTTCGGCCTCCCAAGAGCTGGGATTACAGGAGCACGCCACCAGCCCAGTCTCACTTGCCTCTCAGAGAGCCCTGGGGGTGGGGCTGGCACGGCATGCCTGGGATCAAACCCTGGCCCCTGTGTCTGCATAAACAGGAGCTTTAATCCACTGAGCTATTTGGCTGGTGCTTCATTAGTGTTTTGGTTGTTTTTTTTTTTTTTTTTTTGAACCAGGAATTGAACTCAGGCCCTTGTTCTTGCCAGGGAAGCACTTATTATACTAAGCCATCTCCCCAGCCCCCCTTCATTAGTTGTTAATGAAAGGGTAATTAACAACAAGGAAAAAATTTTAACTTATAAAATTAGCAAACTAATTAATTAATTAATTTTAGTGAAGATTGAATACAGGGCCTCTGTACTGAGCTATGTGCCCAGCCCTTTTAAAATTTTGACACAGAGTCTCGTTAAGTTGCTAAGTTACATAAGATGGGCTCAAATTTTTGTTATTTCGGACTCAGTCTCCCAGAATACTAGGAGAAAGGGATATGCCAACATGTCCAGTGAACTTACTCATTTAGTGGTGCTGCAAGTGGAATGAATGGACTCACGCATGTCAGGCAAGGGCCCTACCACTGAGTCATATTACCAGCCAGCAAAGATTCTAAATGACAAAGCTCAGTAGTGGTGAGAAGTGAGTGGGGGTAACTTTACTATATGTAAATTCACCCACAACTGATGAGATTGTGAGGACAAACTTCCTAGAATGCTATCTGACATGTGCTGAAAGAGCTACTGCTCAGCATATCTAAACAAGACATAGATTTAAAAAAGAGGAGAATAGAAAAATGATGGAAACACTGAACCAATGATACAAGAAAGAATTAGAATGTGTGAAACAGATTCAAACAGATATCTAGGAAATCAAGAATTCCATTGAAAGCTCGTAGAACTAATGGAATGAAACTGAAGATGGACTTTCAAACCTTGAAGACAGCATTGTAGATAGTGAGCATGAAAGGATGGATCTCTTAAAAATAACAAGAAATCAGAAATTAATAATTCAGCAGCAAATAACATAAAGCAAAAATAATGTAAGACTAATAGGTATCAAGTGTGTGCAGGCACAGAGCATTCCTGGTGCCGTATAAGAACTTTGGAGTACACTGGATGGCCTGCGAGACTCTGGCAAGCTGCATTTCTTGGGCCCTAGCATGCCAGTGTGGAACTTGTGCCACCTTGTCTTTGAAAAAGGGACCAAAGAGGCTCACTGGAAGAAAGATAGCCTCTTTAATAAATGGTGCTGGAAAAACTGGCTTTCCATATGCTGAAGACTAAAATTAGATCCAATGTTTATCACCATGCACTAAACAAGTGAAAATGGATCAAAGAGTTAAATAATACAGGCAGAAGGATTTTTTTTTTTTTCCTCCAAATGCCTTCAGGGCATGTTCGGCTGGCTGGAGTTGTGGGGATGGAACCACAGCAACCTGAGCCTGACAGCTTTGTTGAAGCAGCCACTTAAAGAACTGAGCTAAGGGGCAGGCCCCCAAAGAGTTAAATAATAAACACTAAATCTTCTATAGGAAAAAAAGGAGTAGGTAGAGAATTTATGAAGAAAACCCAAACTGCATGGGAAATACTTCAAAGAATCAATAACTGGGATCTCATCTTTTTCAAAAGTTTCTACATGTGAAAAGAAATCACCAACAGCATAAATAGCAAACCTATGAATTGGGAAAAATTATGCCAGTTGTCCTTCCAACAAAGGCATACTCTCTAGCACACATAAAGAGTTAAAACAACAACAACAACAACAACAACAACAACAACAACAACAACAACAACAACAACCAGGAACACAAAATTCAAAGACCCAGTCCAAAAATGGGCATCTGAGATGAATACACCATTTTCAGAAATACAAATGGCAAATAAATATTATGAAAAAATGTTCAACATCATCAGTCATTCAGGAGATGCAAGTTAAAACAACACTGAGATTACATCTCACCCCAGAAAAAACGGCTATTATCAAGAAGTCACTAAGAAGAATATAGCGGTGTATTATTTGTTGAAACTGTACTTCCGATTTGATTTGAAACTGTCTCATTGCTATCTGTTTATCAATAAAACTTTGAAAAAAAAAAGAAGTCAGCCAATAGCAAGTGCTTGAGGGGCTGTTGGGATGTCCACTGTTGATGGGAGTGTAGACTGGTATGGAAATCAGTGAGATTCCTCAAAAAGCTAGATTGGAAGTCCCACTCAAGTCAGCTACTGTGCTTCTGGGTATTTTTCCAAAAGAACTGAAAACATCATATCATAGCGATATATGTGCATCCATGTTTATAACAGTGCAATATGTCATAAATAAATTTTGTTATAACCTAAATGTTTATCACCTGACAGATAAAAAAGATGTGCTATTTTTACACAATGGAGTATTACTCAGCTATTAAAAATATAAACTTGAGGCTTTTATAAGTCAATGGATGTAACTAGAGACTACACTCATAAGTGAAATAAATCATACCCTCATGTACAAATGTCATATTGTCTCACTAGTATAAGAACCTAAAAGAGCAAATAAAATCTGATGGGTACAATACACACACACACACACACACACACACACACACACACACACACGGATAGCTTGGATAATTGTACTGTTGATTTTTGCTGGTCTATTGAAAGGAGTAGCTAATGCTTAAATTATTTTTTTTTCTTTTTTACTTGTAACTTCATTTTATTACCAATTTTGCATGTTTATATCTGGTAATCTAAACAACTAATTTTATGACAACATTATGCAACATAACAACCATTGTTTAATTCTTATTATTTTGTTTAGTGAAATTTGGTAACATTTCTAATTTCTTTTTAATACTTGTTATCCTCTTAAAAAAAAAGAAGAGGGCCAGGGATATAGCTCAGTGGCACAGTGTCTTCCTGGCAAATTCAAGGTCCTGAGTTTGATTCCTGACATAAAAAAAAAAAGCACAAAAACAAAGAAGAGTTAACCTCCTCACCCCTGCCTGCTGATTCTAGTGGTCTACTAATACAGATTTATCCTAAGGAAATACTTGAAACACTGGGAAAGGGAAGCTGTCTACACAAGATATTCATCATGGCATTTTAGTGAAAGTTAGTATTAAAAATATTAACAGTAGAAAAAATAAGTAAATGATACTCATAATCTACTTAGAGATAATGTAACTATTAAAATGGCATTTATAGAATTTATAATTACATAAGAAAAATAGTCATATAATGTTTAAGTTAAAAGAGCAAGACGAAAAATGTTCAATATATGGAACAAGGACTGATCAGTAATTCATCAGTTTTAACAGTCATAATTTTAGTTTTCTTATATATGTATAATAAACAAACATTGATAAATTTATTTTATTTATTTATTTGGTAGTAGGAATTGAACTCATGATCTCATGCTTGCTAGGCAGGTGCTATGTTGCTGAGCTATAACCCAGGACCTGAAAACTGTATTATATTTAAATAAACAAAATAAACTTTACACACACACATACACACTTCAAAGTTATCAAACTTTATTTAGTTTTCTTTGAAATGAGGTTTCATTCCTGGTAGAAAAGGGTCATGATGAAGAATAAGAGGCCAAAATCAAAACCAAAGCAACAACAAACCACTGAATCTTAATAAAAAACAAAATAAGACAAATGAAAGGCAACTGTAAGTCAATCAGATTTAGTTGAATAGCCATTTCTGCAAAAGAGATACATGAATTGCCAATAAGTATGTGAAAAGATACCCAGTGCCACTAACTATTGGGAAAATGTAAATCAAAATGACAAATAGATACCACCTCATACCCACTAGGACATAAAATAGCCCATGTTGGTTCAGATGTAGAGAAATTTGAACCCATGTACATTACTGATGGAATAAAAATATGAAACTTAGGGGGTTGGGGAGATGACTCAGTGGAATAAGTGCTTCCCTGACAAGCGCAAGGGCCTGAGTTCAATCCCTGGTTCCACCAAAAAAAAAAAAAAAAAAAACTTAGCCTGTCATGCTGTCATGGCTAAATCTTTGGATATTAAGCAATGCAGATCAATTTAACACTTTTGAACTAAATACTTAAGAATGGCTAGAAAGGTATATTGCGTGTTATGTATGCTTTACTATTATAAAACACTTTTTTTTTAAAAAAGAAAAGATACAGAGATTAAAAAATTATCAATTACTGATAAATGTTCAACTGATCAGCAAGATACAATAATTCTATGTTTATATGTCCTCAATGGCAGCCTCAAACTATATAAAACAAAACTGACAGAACTACAATTAGAAATTGACATATCCAATGTTACAGCAGGAAATTTTAACACAATTCTGTCAACAACAGATTGGTCAAGCAAAAAAAAAAAGAAATCAGTAAGGATACAGAAAATCACAGCACCACAGTGAACAAGATTGACTTAACAAATAAATATCATTTCTGTGTCCCATTCTATAAGCACACATAGACTTGAAGGAGTTCAGAACATAATACGGCTAAGTATCAACTCTGGCATATTTACTGTTTTGAGTAAAAGCCAACTTAAGAAAACAGAACAGCAAGATGGACATAGTGTTGCACTCCTATAATCTTTGTATTTAGGAGGAGAACAACTTGAGAGTTTTTTTTTCTTTCTTTTTTTTTTTTGTATTGTAGGGAAGGGTCTACAGGGTGTTCAGGGTCTCACTACTAGATCAGATTCATAGTGATCTGCCTGTTTACAGCCTCCCAAGAGCTGGGATTACAGG